ACACCGAATAGCAATTTTCAATAGCTTCAATTTGATATATAGCACGACGTTTGGGGTCAAGCATTTCTGCTCATAACTCAGAAAAACTATTTTGGCTTCATCAAATCATAGGCCTTCATCATAGCAGTTAGCCTTCCAGTTTATTTATAGTTCAATGGTTTGAACTGCGCTCTTTCGTAGTTCAGCTCAACCTCGTACCCAGGCTATTTTCTCTCAGAACTCTGGTGACACGGCCATCTTAAAAGACCCTGGGTACGAGGTTGAGTTCAGCCTAGCTCTCAGCTGTATAAGTAAGGATGATTTAGAGTAGCACACCACCACTAATTTATGTTATCCAGAATATATTGTGTCTAGTTATATACGTAATCTGAAACCTATCTGATTTGTTTAGAGCATACCTGGTGTTTAAAGACACAACATATGCATTTCCAATAAGGTCAAACACAAATCTGATTTGAGCATCCTCGGGAAAACTTGAGTTTAACTTCAAAATAAAGAAACCGTATGTCACTTGAAACCGAAATTACAGATGCGTAGACCTCTCTTAAGCCCCGTACAGACGAGCTGCAAGTTTTCCTTAACAAATTTACAACCTTCTCATGTGTACGGTCAACAATGTTTCCGGTTTTTTTCGGAATGTTGTTGAACATTTATCTCACGTCATGCAAGACCGCCTTTTGTTTTCCAAAACCTTAGCAGTATGTCTTTTACACTTGTCAAGTTTTCCTTGTCGGTCGTATACACGAACAAATTTTCCTTGTCCAAAAGCTGGCATGACTAGCTTTGGAACAAGGCTTCTTGGCAACGAAAAATTGCCAATTTTTTTTGCCTTACACACGATCAAATAAAACTTGGCAAGGAAAACTTGCTCGCCTGTACGGGGCGCTTTACTGTAGGAGTAATATAAAGTCATAGTGGATGAATTCATCCTTATATTACCTGAATCATATAGACTACTCCAATTCTACCATAAAACAAGGAATAGTCTTCATAAAGTACCAAATATTCACCATTGTTTGCTATCAAAAATAAGGAGGAACAGTGTAGTTTAGTGCATCAATGTAATTAGTAAAAACAGCGTTTAACGAAAAACATACATACATGTGACAACTTGGACAATACTTTCGTCGCCAGAAGATGAAATGCTCCCTTTCTTTGTTATGATAATGGTTGTTTCATCTAAAAGATTTACAACCAAGCGTTGTAAGGAGTTGTTTGAATGTCTTTCGTCTCTGACCAGGTTCAATTCCTGCAATATGCAGTTGTCTGATAATTATAATTTCTCCTTTATATCGCACGCGAGGAGAGTAAGAGTTTTTTCCATTTCAACTCTACCAAACACTGTCTTCCCGGGTACTCGGTTTCCTCCTGTGGTAACACTGGACTGATATGAATTGCTCCAACTGGATCTCTAGGGAGAACAGTTTAGCGCGCTTGAGCGCCCATTAAATGATCACCAACCTTTACCGCTCTTGTAAAACACGTCTCGTGAATTCCATAGCAACATTGACAACGAATTCGGTGGTAAAAATTGAAACGACCAGTTTAAACCTAGAAGATTGAAGCTGATAGTTTAAACCTAAATTTTCGGAATATCAAGAGGATACGATGTCATTGGTCAATCAAATACATTGTGTAGCTAATCATTAGTAAGCATCGAAAACTCAATCTAACGCCCGTATTCTAAAAGCTCACTCACACTCACACTCAATGAGTGGAGGTTCAATCTGAGCTTCCCTTGACTGTCAGTGCTGTTTTTGAATAGCTGGAGCGTGAGTAGTCACATAGCAAGGTAGGACACTAACCCTTCAGCTATTCAAAAACAGCACCGACACTCAAGAGAAGCTGAGATTGAACCTCCACTCATTGAGTGTGAGTGAGCTTTTAGAATACGGGCGTAAGAGTTCAAACTGATCAAATCGAAGGCTTAAACAGCCATAACAATGGTTCTACTAAACCAATTTTAACAACCTTAGTGTCAAAATGCATCTCTTAGATTGAATTTTCGATGCTCACTAATAATTATAGCTGTGTAAAAATCTGGAACATATAGCTATATTGCATTTTATTTTCTGGATACCCTGTATAGGCAAGCGTCAGTTGGAGAATGATCCATAAGAACGGTAGCCCGCGCCCAGTATATAATGAGAATGGGAATGAAATCAGTGAAAATTTCAAACTTTTTTACCATTATCAAAGCGTTGTTCTTCCAGTAACAATGTGACATTCCTCCAAGCGTTTGTTTCATAGTCTTGTGTTGTATAGCCAATTACCTGTTTTGAGTTCATCATAAAAGAAAGATATTTCAATTAAAAAGTGCAGCATGCATGTTAATAACCTTTGATTCGATTATTAATAACAATTATCAATAACCTTTGAGCCGTTACATTCAGGACATGTTGATGACTCAATCAGATAAAATATACAGTGACATATTCCATTTATTTTCACGTCAAGCAATCTAAAACCCTGCAACAAAAAATTACTTTTACAAAGTTGAAACAATATATTAATTTAAGTGATAATCAGCATAATTTCCGGGCAAAAAAATAAATTTTTACACCGGCTACCATCAAATATACCTCATCTTGAAAATAACTTGGTACATTTACTGAGAGAAATCCGATTGTTGAATTCAAGGAAAGGTAGACAAAACTCTAGTAAATTAAAAAGAACGGGAAAATGCTTAAAAAATCGTACATTTGGAAAAGGACATCAAATATGTACATTTATAATATTTAGATGTCCCTTGTATGGCTAGTTGAATCAAAACAGGGCCTCTTTTAAGAATTCTTCAGTGGAGAATCAGTACTAGAAGTGGTTGACTGGAAAAGTGGGAACTTACAGGGGAGTCTGGGGGGGGGGGTCCACCCACAGAAATGTTTTGTATTTTTGAGCCTCTTGGGCTTGATTGTCTGCGTTTTCAGACACAACCTTTTGCTATATTTTATCCGCTAGATGAAAACCAAACGGTCAAGGAATATTAGGCCTACACTTAGGAAGTTATTCTTCCCTTTTTTGCTGAGGGGGGTTGAGGAACTTTAAAATTGGAAATAGTGACTGGTTAAAAATCCAATAATTGGAAGAATTGCTACTTCACCTGGTTAGCCCATGCCAAAACTGTATCAGCAATTGTCTAGAAAAGGAAAATGGTAAATATACTCTTATTATTAGTGGTTTGCAATCAATCTCTTGATATTTATAAGACGGCGGCCATGTTTGAGGAAACCACGCTCCAAATATAATGGCATGCAGCTAAACATATTTTTTTGTTAGCGTTCCTTCATGGCTGCAATGACATCAAGTGCAAACCAAGAATATACGAGTTTCAACTCAAAAACTCTTTAATACATTTATAAACTTTAACCTCGTGAGGTAAGTTGTCTTGATGACACCAAGGATAAGAGCTGAACTCAAGTTCATTCATCGGTAGCCCTGTCGACAAAACAACATTGTAAAACTCATTAATAATCCATGAAGAAAATTCAGAAAAAATCAATGTTTAATGAGCTGCTGCGCTTAATGATTCCCTCGAATACAATTTGTATTGGGTAATATTTGGGTCAGTCTAAGAAATGTAATATATCTTCACAGTAAAAAACCTCATCTTGATCAACTTTTTCACTGTCAAAAATGCCGGACATGATGTGATTAGATGAATATTTACAGTGAAAGAACATTGGAAAACTAATTTATAATACATCTAATGACATCATGTCCGGCATTACTGACAGCGAAAAAGTTGATCAAGATAAGTTTTATGCTGTAAAGATATATCACATTTCTTCTCGGAATGACCCAAATATTAGCCTTAGCAAAAATCATATTTGGGTTTAGCAAAAATCATATTTGGTGTTTACCTTTCGCTGAAGCAATTTGTGAAGAATTATTGTCCACAATGAAAGTTTCTCGGCCAGTATGGATAACAAGGTTTCCTTGCCGAGTAAAGACTGCTTTATAACCAGTTGGGTTAATCTGTAAGAACGAACATCGTGGCGCTTATTAATCAGCTGCATCATGGAGGTGAAATTAATTTCATACTGTAATAATTCATGAGGAAAACACAAAGAAAAATCATAAGTCGTATCTTGATATGTGATAGAGATTTTCCTTGATTTATATAAACTTGCGGAATTGCTACCACATTTGGGCCAAAAATGGTAGCAATTTCCGCACGCAATACAAAAGTATACAAAATTTGCAAACTTTGCAAGGCCATATTTTCCACATTTTACAACATTTCGCAACCAAACTGCGCAGTTTTATTCATTTTATTATGTTCTTTCTGGCTGTGGTGATTTATTTGCATCCCCTTGCTGAGTTTTAACATTAGCTTATAATGGGAATTGTCTTTGACACGACTATCTTTGCTTATTTACAAAAATCGTTACTTACAGTAATCAAATGTCCTGGAACAGTTAATGCCAACACCGTGTCAAAGTAATCTTTGGTCAGTAGTAAATGATCTTTCCTAGAACGCATAAACCAGGGGCCGGTTATGTTAGGCCAGACAGTTTACAATCATCAAAACAAGAGCAGCACTTATTCGACCTACCTGACAACGATGAAAACATTGGGCGTGCAGTCATTCTGCAGAGAAAAAAGATTAATTTATTCCTAGGTGTACTAAATTCAAAATGTGGGCGGATTTCTAGGGCCTAGCAAAAGACAATCCCTTCTTCAAAAACAACATCGTAAACTGCTAGATTTATAGCGTGTCTGATATAATTTATATTGCTTCCGAAAGAGAACACACTCCAGTGATGAACACTGGGTGTGTAACTGTGTATTGGATCTGCCCATGATACAGGTATGTGTTCACTGGAGTGTTTTCAGCATGTTTTCTAGGTGCGCTGTATAATAAGAATTTATATAATACAATAGAGCGAAGACTTTAACCATCTCGATAAACGGTTTAGTTTCATAGTTTATTAGTTACTTTGTATACTCTACTTGTGCCCGCAGTTATTGGTGTTCTGGACTGTTGTGCATACCCAACCATCGTAGTCTTGTATATAGTTATCGTGTGTTTGTGTACAGTACAGTAGCGTACCTGATGGAAAAGCAATTAAATTAAATTAATTATAAGTTACGTAATTGTAATTACTTGTATCAGCTCTAATCCACCATTTAGGTTTTCATATGGAAGCTGCATATATAAAAAAAGAAAATTAAACTTTAGCATGAATATTTAACGTCAATATGTTCTCCCAGTATCACTAAGTCGTATTTAAAGTACGACTAACCCCAAATATGATTTTTGGTATGTGTAATATCGGGGTCATTCTAAGAAGAAATGTAATGTATCTTTATAGTAAAAAAACTCATCTTGATCAACTTCTTCACTGTCAAAATTTCCAGATATGACGTCATTAGGTGAATTTTTGGTACAAAAAACAAAGGAAAACTAATTTGCAATTCATCTAATGACATCATATCTGGAAACTTCGACAGTGAAAAAGTTGATCAAGATGGGATTTTTTGTTTTAAAGATATATTAAATTTCTTCTTCGAATGACCCAAATATTACACATACCAAAAATGATATTTGGGGTTAGTCGTACTTTAATTGTTTGTTGTAAACATCTACCTCAGTAACATTTAAGGATTCAGCAATGCTGGATTTTCTGTCTTGAATTTCAAATACAGTTGCCCTGAAATGGAATGAAATGTTTGCAAGGTTCTCTAACAGTTGAACAGAGGACATATCAGCTTTTTTCTACCATTGCTACACACAATGAGCCAATTCGCTCACATTGAATTAATCAAAAGTAAAAGATACGTACTTTATAAAACAATCGAGGAACCCGACAGTTGATTCATCAACTTTAATCTTCAATAGTTCAAGCGTTTCCAGCGCTAAGTCAACTTCCCAAACACTACATGAATCAGGTAGAACAATTAAAGGATCGGTCATTATTTATGACGGGGGTGGCACCAAAGAGAAAAGGGTTGAGTAAACAAAACAACTCAAGGGTTCGGTTATAAAATTTATTGTCATTTCCGAAGACTGACTCGCTCAAATACTGAAGACTAAAAAGCAATGTCAACAGTTGCGAAAAATGAAACTATAGGCCCTCTGCTTCCTTTTACCTTTTGTTTGCAGAGAATGCAACTTCTTGCCGCACAAACTCAATTTCATCACTTGAATGACTTACGAAGGCAAAGACCGAAGGTCGTTGACCAATTTGGTAAAACAGTTTGGTTATATGTTTCGAAATCTGAAAACAATTATATAGAAAGGGAATGTGATTATTTATTTTGTTCAAGATACTTAATTGTTATGAAATTTCGTTACCTCCGAAGGAAATGGATTAGTGCTGTTCTGTTCTATCTCGTCCGTTTTTCTTATCCACAGTTGAAATTTCAGGTTAAACGTCCTGAGAAGGAAAAACCATTAGCGCGATATTAACTATAGGATTACGATTAGCATTTCTATAGCGCAAATCTACATGTGGATATAGGAAGAGGTTATTTCGCTGGCCTCAAAGTGACAAACGTAACAAAGCAAGGGTTTTACTAACACTAACCCTACTCCAAACACCAACTCTAACCCTAACCGTAATCCTTACCCTAATCTAACCCTACTCCAAATTTGTTTCTAAACCAATCTTGAAGAAAAAAGTTTTGACGAAATGTCATTCTGAGGTCAGCGAAATAGTTCATGCCGTGGATATATGATCAAATTCACCTTTACATCAAGTATTATACGCTTACCTAATTACATACTTAGCCTAAATTATTTTATCTTTACGACAATTGCGATATTACGTTCTAAACTGTGTTTATCCTAACCCACCCCGTCAACTTTCCCTGTGTGAGGAAACCGGAGCACCCGGAGTTTTACCCAAGACTTTCGGCAGAGCATTGACCGACTCTTTTCACATGAGTCCGTAACGAGAATCGAGCCCACGAACTCAAAGGTGACAGGCGCTTGCTCTGACAACAGCGCCACCGAAGTTTGAAAGACACTTCCCGTGGCCGTAGTTCCCGAATTTGCTGACTGGCAATAAAAAACTATACTTATTTACAATAGATTACGTAACATTTCAAATCCGACTATAAGGACTGGACTAGATTTCAACTGAATCAAGTCGGCACAAGTCTTGAAATCTAGTCCAGTACGAATTGGAGGATTTGAAATGACATCTCATACGAATAAATCACTACTTAAAGTGAGGTGAATTAATTTGGATCCAGTCCTAGGACTAAATTATTTAATAAACTTCACAAGCTTGTTCATATCGGGTATGACTAAAGGGAGAGTTACCAACCGGAGAGTTATCTCGGAGAGTTATGATTTCGGAGAGTTATGTTCGAACCACGCTCTCCGCGTTCACGATTGTGGCGATGAAGAGAGTTATGTCAGTTTTTTGAGAAAACCTTAGTAAAGCTTGTTTCTTCAGATTTTCATCTTATATTTTGGTACTTCAGTTTGTAGCGTGTCAATAGCGTGCGTCCAAACAGGAAATAATACAACTTGACTCAGTCAAAACAATGAGATGCTTGCATCAGAAGGGTCAAAGTACCCCCAGCAGAAGCATGATTTGACGTGTATTTGGCATACGGTAAGCACAGTTGCAAGAAATTCAGGTTTTGGAAATACTTTCCCAGATCAGCTAATAGGGCATTACATTGGAAAGGTTTTCTGGGTCTATCTAATACGAGAGCTGCATCTGAATGCTGTGTTTTGTAGATAATCCAAGTGAGCATGTATAATAATATATTTACTCGTACTCGTTTCACTTGGTAAGTACTAAATTACTACAAGTTTCTACTAGCGTGAAATGTTAAAGCTGAAACGTGAGAAAAAAGTAAATTCACAATAATTTACTAAAATGTGGAAGTGTTTTTCAAAAAACAGACGGACATAACTCTCTTCATTGGCATTGCCACAATCGAGAACGCGGAGAGTTATAAAAAATGATAACTCTCTAACATCTTCATAATGTTAACGAGAGAGTGTTACGTCAAACATAACTCTCTCATGTTAGTTCAAGGAAACATCGGGAGAGTTAAGAAATTGGGTATGGTCATTGGGGAAAGTGGGCGTGGTTCGAACATAACTCTCCGAAATCATAACTCTCCAAGATAACTCTCCACTTCATAACTCTCGGTTTAGCTGGTCCCGAACTTGGCGCTTGGTCTTTGTGTGAACCAGATCGAATTACTACAACACGTGATATATTCTAAGCATGCTAATTGGTTAAAACTCTTTAACTTCCACTTGTCGCAAATTATATTCAGCAGAATTCAGCGGCAGAACATTCCACACGTTCAAATTACAGATTTAGGCCAGCAAATAAAAAATATAGATGACTCGCCGACAGTTTCTGGCTACATTCGATCGCCGCGTGCGATAGAAGCCGATATACGGTCCTATAATACATCAACGGCATCAATCTGACTTGGCAACATTCGAGTAACCAAAAACGGAAAATTAAAAAAAAAAAAGACTTTATATCACGAACTTCGTGCTTTTCGCATCTGACTGGCAATACTTTAATAGAGTATAGCCTCCAGCAGAAAAACTCTTGGATTCTCAGGCACATTAATTACATATTGTAATAATTTACTCCAGATCCAAAACAATTTTACTCTTTTTTGGGAGTTGAAACGACCCCCGGAGTAAAATTAAGGAGTACAAATTACTCCATATTTTCTACTCCTAATCGCGAGTTTAGTTTACTCCTCCAGCGGAGTAAAATTGACTCCTGATGGAGTAAATTGTGGAATGCGCGCCGAAGTGGAGTAGTTTTAACTCTATTTTGGGAGTAGATTTTACTCCACTATTTTTACTCTCCCAAGTTGAGTAGTTTTAACTCCTATGGTGGAGTTAAAATAACTCCTTGAAATTAACAGTGTAATGCGAAAATGCCAGTTTAGAGAGTCTAGATTTTAATTAATTTCTGAAGAGGATGCAACCCGATCCCCAACAAGCTATCTGTATGAACGATTGAAAAGCTACAGAGCTATATTTGGTGGAACATTGTTGTTTCGGAGGGCAGTTAAAAATTGCATTATTGAAATCTTGTTTTATTACATATTAATCAAAGCTCATTTTGTGATTTTCCCTTGTTTAAAATAAGGGGCAGTAAGTGTTCCTTAGGCTTAGTACAGCAAAGTTGTTGTGGACGAATCCATGGCTGAAAACGCAGGAAATAGCATTTCCGAGGTTCAAATTTTAACATTTTCTCGGGGGAGCATGCCCCCGAACCCCCCAAGGTTACAGGTCATTCATATACTGTACCCTCCCCCATTTTCGAGTACTCTACTCTGTTTTAGGTTTTGGTGCAGTTATACATTCTTTGTAAGTAAACTTGCACGCTTTAGTGTGGGGAACATTAAGACATAACCATATAAAATAAAGCACAGTGAAAATTCCTTGGCCCCTCTTGGGATTCAGTTCTCGGCCTCCTCTGACTGAAAACCCCTGCTACGTCTCCGATGATAGCTATATGAAAGCCTAAAGTTACTGTAAACCGTTATTATGAGAGGCAAAAAAATATCCTGCCGCCAAATATATTGGGAAAAAAATATCTTGCGCTGCACTTTTACAGGAAAAAATATCTGTCTTGTTCGCCTGGGCGGAAAAAAATTCTTGCACAGACTGAATCTTCCTAGCTGTAACTGTTTGTTTACAAAGGTTTAAGTATATAAAAGCAACGGGCTCCATGGGGTTAGGGACCGCTCATTATTTATTGTACAGGGGGGGATTGAGGAGAAACTGGGGGGCCTTTAAATTTTTTAAAACCTGAAAGGGGGGGGGGCTTTGAAAAAATACGGAGAGACGAAAGAAGGGGGGCTTTGAAAATATTTACCAGTTTGGATAGAACATTACTAGTTTTAAAAATGTATCACAAAACAACTTAACAACAAATAATGTTTATAGATCTAATATTTATAAATGGAAGCCAAGTCTCTTATGTTCATGTAAATAGACAATTCCCAATGTAGACTAATTTTAGAACTAGGCAAAGAGATGCAAATCAAGGCCGAATTTTGGTGAAAATAGTGAGGGAGGTGGAAAAAAATGTCAGGGGAGGCGCAGCAGTCTAGCTCACAACCCCCGCGGAAAATTAGGGCTTATTGTAGAACAGGCCAATATCAACAAGGTGAGGTATGTATGTAGTGTACATATGTACCAGTGTATTAATGAATTATGAATGTACGACACCAATCTTGCCCTTCATTGCAATTGCTACAAAGTTTCTTTCAAAACATTGCATTAACAGTGTACTTGACACAGATATGAATGGCTATCACTGTTTCAATTTTACAGAGAAAACTTTCTTATGTCACGAAGTGTAGATCCTAAGCAACCATCACATTTTCAGTTTGTTCTATCATTGAAACTTTCCGCAGAGGAGGTGCATGACCTTTCAGGAGAAGTGCAAAAATTCTCAGGGGAGGTGCAAAACGATCTCAGGGGAGGTGCGCACCTCTCCACACCTCCCCTCAAAATCCGGCCTTGACGCAAATAAATCACCATTGCTAGAAAGAGCATACTAAAATAAGTAAATTATTTCAAAGTTTGGTTGCGAGATGTTGTAAAATACGGAAAATATAGCCTTGCAAAGTTTGCAAATTTTGTATACTTTTGTATTGCATGCGAAAATTGCAATACAAAAGTATACAAAATTTTTGCAACTTTGGAAGGCTATATATTTTCTACATTTTACAACATTTTGCAACCAAACATTGCAATTTTATTAATTTTAGTATGCCCTTCCCGGGAATATACTTTTTTAGTGTATAATGGGAATTGTCTATTGGTCCCCAATATCTATTTGTGTTTCTCTAAATAAAGAGCTAGAGTTTTTGTTTCTCTAAATAAAGATAAAGAGCTGGGGGGTGGTTAAAATTTATGATCTTGTTTTGCCTTTTGGGGGGGGGGGCTTTGAAAATTTTACTTATCTTAAGAGGGGGGCAACGAAAAAATATTATAACTGTAGAGTTTCTCCTCAGTCTCCCCCTGTACAATAAATAATGAGCGGTCCCTTATCAATATTTTAAATATTTATTCGAATATCTGTACTTATCGACTCTTACTAGACCTTACTAGTTTACAAACTTGCAATAAAGTGAAATCGACAACTTTCCGATTGTATTTTTAGGTATTACATGTATGTGTCAATCATCATCGTTAATTATTGTAAAATGCAAAGTCCAGTAAACGAATGACTTACGTTCGACAAACTTCGTAACAAAGCCCACTCACCTTAAATCTGTTTATATGCGTCTAAATAGTACGCACATAAAAATCCACCCGAATCCGACCATGCGGCAACCTCTTTATTTCGACCATCGAAAATCCAATATGGCCGCCAAATCCAAGATGGCCGCCATTTTTGAACAAAAATCAAAATAAAACAGTTACACAATTACACTTCGTGGAGTTAAGCCTCTAGGCATGTTTATTGCCTATCAATACATGTAAAACCGGCATTAAATCGAAATGTGAGCTTGCAAATCATATTTTTTTAAAGTTGTTAAATCCAAGATGGCCGCCAAATCCAAAATGGCCGCCAAATCCAAGATGGCCGCCGTCAAGCTTATTTAGGGACCATTCATTATTTATGACTGGGGGTGGGCTGGCAAAAAAGGGGATGGGTCATGAGGAATTTTTGACGAAAAAGGGGGGACACCTAAAAATATTGGTTCAGAAGGGTGGGTCCAGTTATTTATTATAGTGGTATTATAGTGGAGAAAAATTTGGTATGTAACAATTATTGCTACCACAGGGAGCGAGCAAGGCAGCAAACTTAATTGATGTATAGCTAGCAAAATTGTTAATTTTAATCAACAGATAGACGCAAAATGCAATGCACAAATACTCAAAATTTCCTCGCGTTCAGCTACCCAATCAAAAAGAACTTCCTACGCCCTACGACACTGTAACCCTAACTCTACTCCTAACCCTATACTGCTAACCGATTTTACTCGTCAACGGGGAAGCTAGCTCTGCTGGGCATGTCCCGATTGTGCTCGGGCAACTTTTTGCGTTTGGAGCAACTTTTTTCGGCTCGAGCAACTTCAAGCAACTTTTTCCTTTTTGAGCAACTTTTTACTACACTCTTAGTAGCGAGAAATGGTATGACCACCAGCTTTAGCCTCTTCGGTGCTCTGCAGCTTAATGGGTTAACCAATAAAAATCGGACAATGTCCCTAGTTAACCCATTCCACTCCAGTGCTTATTTTTTACTTGTTCAATTTAACACCAGGTGATTTTACTCGTCAACAGGAAACTCTGCAGCTTAGTGGGTTAAATAGGCATTCATATTAATTGTTGAAAGCACAAGTAAATGAATGATCTGATGCCTTTTACAACAAGTTTAAAGAGCTCATTTGTATATAGTACTGTACATTTATTATATTGTTGGTGGTGGTCGGGGGGGGTTAATATTTTTTAGAATTCATGTGACGGGAGTCATTAAAATTTTGGTGATGCAAGGGGTGGGGCAAGACATTTTGTTTAGTTGTTAATTGAATTTTGCCAGCCCACCCCCGGTCATAAATAATGAATGGTCCCTTAGATATGTATTAGGAACCATTTTCCACAGAAAAGCAAGTAAATTTCAAATATTAGATACTTAGATTATTTAACATTATTTGATGCGTAAAATCTTTTTATAAAAGCAATAAAACCCATTTACAAGGGGACAGCTCTTCGTATAAAAAAAGGACCGTAAAAAACACTGGAAATGATCAAAGTGAGCCAGTGTATCATACCGCAGCTTTTCCTTGACGAACCACATAATTCCCTTTTTCTCTTTCAGATGGGGCAAAATTTGATATGTTTGCAATACTCGTAATTCTACTTATAAGTCTAGAAGAACTTAAAGTTCACTTCAGAAATCAGCAGCAGCATCAAAATCCTCACGATCCACTCGCGGAGGGTTTAGGCACGCAATGCCCTTGCATTGGCCGCACGCTGAAGTGCACTGAAGAACGTTCGTGAAGCAGGTGCAAGATCGTGTATCACATCTGCCACCACAATTACATCTGATGTTTTGCAGGAGCTGCGCTGGGGCTGCTGGCTCTGACATCTGCACAGGAACAAGGCCTGTTGAGAATCTCACCCATCCCCACTCCTCAGGAAGAAGATCGTTCCTTTTCCATGCTTGTACCTGGAAAAGACACAGTGACTGTGAAATTGGGCGGCGTCTGATGTCGGCGGAAGCTTCTCTGGTGGTACATATCTAGCTGCTGTGGCCACTTTCGTTTGAAATCTTTGGAGCCTTGCAGTTTTCAAATCATCTACTTGGATTCCATACATGATCAGTAAGGCCCTTTCGCCAGCTGTTTCTAGGGCCACTTTTGAAGACTCGCTTGCCATAAACGTTGCAGCACTTTCTGCCAGGGCCGCATATTTCTTCAGAACACCCACTTTCCCGATTCCATGTGGCCTTGAAGTCGTATCACAGCCGCTAACAGCATGGAGAAAAAGAAGTGACTCTGACACCTTAACATCCACTCTGCGCTTGATGGTGCTAGCGCAGACAGTTCGTTTTGCAGCGACCATGTATACATCACTAGCAGCAGGATCTGTGTGGGAAACTAGCAACTGGAAAACATCAGAGTCTTATGCAACGGCAGCTACTGGACTTCCTAAGGCATACGCACAAGCCCTCTGAAAAATCTTGCAGTCTGCATCTCCTGTGGCGTGCTCATCATGGATTCCAGCTCGACCCATTTCGTCAGCGAGGAGGTAGATTAGGGCCTGTTTGTTGGAGGAATTCCAAAGGAAAGCATTCTTGGACATCGTCAGGCGCATTTTTTGGTAACGGACACTGTTGCGCCAACATCGTTGCTTGATCGACTTCGATCAGTCGATGTGCTTCGTCTTTTGCACTGGGGCCATGATATCCATCAAAAACCACCGTGGCATTGCTTACGTGGCCTACTCATCATGTACGGAAGCCAAGTAGATGATTTGAAAACTGCAACGCTCCAAAGATTTCAAACGAAAGTGGCCACAGCAGCTGGATATGTACCACCAGAGAAGCTTCCGCCGACATCGGACGCCGCCCGATTTCACAATCACCATGTCTTTTTCCAGATATAAGCATGGAAAGGGAACGATCTTCCTCCTGAGGAGTGGGGATAGGCGAGATCCTCAACAGGCCTTGTTCCTGTGCAGATGTCAGAGCCAGCAGCCCCAGCGCAGCTCATGCGAAACATCAGCTGTAATTGTGGTGGCAGATGTGATACACGATCTTGCACCTGCTTCACGAACGTTCTTCAGTGCACTCCAGCGTGCGGCCAATGCAAGGGCATTGCGTGCCTAAACTCTCCGCGAGTGGATCGTGAGGATTTTGATGCTGCTGCTGATATCTGACGTGAACCTGAATTTCTTCTAGACTTATAAGTAGAATTACGAGTATTGCAAACATATCAAATTTTGCCCCTTGTGAAAGAAAAAAAAGGAATGTGTTTCGTCAAGGAAAAGCTGCGGTATGATACACTGGGTCACTTTTATAAAGCCCGCAAGAAGCACATTTTAGTTAAGCGATAAAAATCATTCCCAGTGCTTTTTACGGTCCTTTTTTATACGAGGAGCTTCCCCTTGTAAATGGGCTTTATTGCTTTTAGAAAAAGATTTTACGCATGAAAATAATGTTAAATAATCTAAGTATCTAGTATTTGGAATTTGTTTGCTTTTCTGTGGAAAATGGCGCCTAATACATATCTTCAATATCTAAATAAGCTTGACGGCGGCCATCTTGGATTTGGCGGCCATTTTGGATTTGGCGCGATCTTGGATTTAACAACTTTAAAAAAAAAATGATTTGCAAGCTCAGAATTCGATTTAATGCCGGTTTTACATGTATTGATAGGCAATAAACATGCCTAGAGGCTTAACTCCACCAAGTGTAATTGTGTAACTGTTTATTTTGGTTTTTGTTCAAAAATGGCGGCCATCTTGGATTTGGCGGCCATCTTGGATTTTCGATGGTCGAAATAAAGAGATTGCCATGGTCGGATTCGGGTGGATTTTTATGTGTGCACTATTTGGATGCATATAAACAGATGTAAGGTGAATGGGCTTGTTACAAATTTTGTCGAACCTCGCCTAAAAAAATGCTTCGTTTACTGGACTTGGGCGGAAGAAGCTTTTAATAACATTTTCATCAGACCTACGTTTCGCCCTTTCCGTCGACGAATTTTAGGGCGGGTGAAACGTAGGTCTGTTATCAGGCTAGGCCTGACACAAAACCTGTCTAGACCGTGGGACGCTCACATGTTATTTTTAGACACAGCATGCAATATGATTGACAAGTGTTGTAGATTTCGTTACACAAAAAATTTATATTCTAATGAACATGTCCGCAGAGTGTGCATTTTGATTCTTAATTGAACTTTAAAATTCAAGGTACTTTTATAGAATTAAGAGTCAGTTTCTCTATTTAACCGAACAGCAAACAAAGATTCAATTAGTCACTCTGTGTACAGCTTGACTGCCAAGCTTTCTCAAGGTCTCAACTTGCTGGACGCGGATATACCAGGGATACACTGGTAACAAAAGCAACAATAAAATTCTCAATCGTACCACGAAGAAGGCGATGTAGCTCAAAAAAACAACGCCAGTAGGACCTGATATTAAAAATAAGACTTTTGCCGGCGAAGCCAGTTGGCAGAACATCTTGGCTGTCAACAACAAGCTTTCGAATAGATGACTAGTTTGGCTGTTCTTTCAGCGTCGTGTGTCCAAAATTCGTCAAAGATTTTGATAAAGACCTTTCAAAATACTATTTGTTTGATTTATTTTCTGCCATAAAGCATAAAAGAAAAGAAATTCGAAGAAATCGATAATGGATTTGCTAAGGGCAATTGATAAAACTAGAATAGTGAAGCGAATAGTGCGAATAGTCGACGAATAGTACGAATAGTCCGCGAATAGTCGACGAATAGTACGAATAGTCCGCGAATAGTCGACGAATAGTGCGAATAGTCCGCGAATAGGCGACGAATAGTACGAATAGTCGACGAATATTGCAATAGAGACTTTGCAAGGCTTTGCAGCAGTGCTGTAGAACTAAATTTACCGGGAGGGGGGGCTCTATTGACAAACATGAAATCGTGAAAACATTCGTTGACGTACGTCAATGACGTCATACGTAACCGGTAAAAATTATGGGAACCACTGAGTATTTTAATAAAATATAAAACAACGGTAACTTCGAAAATAAACATTTTAATATTGTCAGTGAACTAAAAATACCTATTATACCGTTATTTTTAGTTCAATGAATATTGTAGCTTTCCCGCTGGTCATATTCAGCAAATTTTCTCCCAGTACCGCAGGCTCGCATTTTCAGCGGACCTGTTGTGAAAAATTGAAACTTTTGCATTTTGCCAGGCGCTCCTTGCGTTATCAACAATATAGTATTGTAATTGTTAAGCTTAACAACCCAATAAATATTGGGTTGTTAACCCTAACCCCAACCCTAACCTCTAACCCCCACCCCCCTAACCACTAACCCCTAACCCTAACCCAGAAATAAAGCTGCCGGGATTAACCCACCCGCCACCACTCCACCTCCATCCCAAGACAGTTACACTTATAACTAAAACTTTTGTGCAATGCTTGCGGTTTTCTTTCCAGTAACAACCCAATAACTTATTGTGTTGTTAAGCTTAACAATTACAATACTATATTGTTGATAACGTGCGGAACGGGTGATTTTGCACAGAACTGCCCACTTTCTGTAAGATGTCCGCTGACAATACGAGCCCGCACGAGTGGGAGAAATTTTGCTAAATTTGACCAACATGTTTCGACTAAAATTCAGTCATCGTCAGGAAATATATTTCATATTTTTTAAATTTATAATCATTCCTGATGGTAAGTGGTAACCATATGAGCGAGTCATGAATTTTACTGATGGAATTTATAGGAATTTTACTTGTAAGTTGTGACATTGTAACTGAATATTTAAGGGCTTAAGTGATTTCGTGTGCTTGGAAAACGTGATTTACATCACGAAACAAGAGAACGTATCGATTTATTATTTAAGCCCGTTTTTGGGCGAATTTGTTCGCGCGAAGCGAAAACCAAATTTCGGCAATGTGATTGGTCAGCGAAAAAATTCGCCGCGAAAAAGTTGGATCAGCCTACTCTTTTACTTGTCGCTTCGCGCGAACAAATTCGCCCAGTGGGAAAACGTCATTCTAGTGATTGTCATTCTACTTCCTGTTAAATATTTGTTAAAACTCAGTGGTCCCGTAATTTTTACCGATAACGTATGACGTCATTGACAGGCCTTGACATCAACGAATGTTTTCACGATTTCATGTTTGCCAATAGAGCCCCCCCCCGATTCGGTAAATTTAGTTCTGCAGCACGGTGGAAAGCCTTGCAAAGTCTCTATTGCACTATTCTTCGACTATTCGTACTATTCGTCGACTATTCGCGGACTATTCGTACTATTCGTCACCTATTCGCGGACTATTCGTACTATTCGTCGACTATTCGCGGACTATTCGTACTATTCGTCGACTATTCGCGGACTATTCGCACTATTCGCTTCACTATTCTAGTTTTATCAATTGCCATTTGCTACGTGCGTTTGACCTTTATATTATTATTGCCCCCCCCCCCGAGCCCTTGACCGAGCTATTTTTAAAACTGTTGTTTATGTGAACTTGCAACCAATCAAAATCTTAGGGCCTGAACGTCAGGTTAAATCTACAGGCACGATGATTTATATTTGAAGTATTCAAGCACCAATAGCGGTATATATTTATTATATAGTTTTCTTTGTTTTTCTTCATTTTAAATACTACTACTGTATTTCTGGACCGCTCGGCCCCTCCAGGTAATGAAAATTTATACTAATACGTGCAAAAAATTACCAGAACCCGCCCGCCTCACAAAATGAACCAATTTCATTGCGCGACATATACAAGTGATCTATGTTCACAAGTCTCACAACCGCTAATTACAGACATCTGGTATTTCTATAATTATATTGGAACGAAACATTTCTTTTTTTAAAGAAATATTTTCTTGTTAATAATGCTATCGAACACAATTTTTGACCTTTTTTCAATTGCTGCATGTTTATGGAAACATTCAAATGTTCTTTACTGGGGATGTGTCGGATACTGTTTTGCAAGATTGTACTGGAGAATAGTATAAAAATTTTCCAGTAGTTGCATGCATATCCTTCACATGTGTGTGTGTGTTGTGCGACTGTGTGTTGTTATGTGTGTGTCTTTATTATTATGCTGTATAAAAATTTAGATCAATTATGTAAAATTTCGCTGAAAAGCCTTTTAAGGGATGTGAAATTAAAATACAATACAATACTATGTTAAGCCTGCATAGCTGGTTCACACGATGAAATAAGCATAAGCACAAGCAGTGGAACCTTTGATGTGTATAAGCATAAACATAAGAAGAACAAATGTTGCGTTCTTCTTATGCTTACGTTTATGCACATCAAAGGTTCCGCTGCTTGTGCTTGTGCTTATGCTTATTTCATCGTGTGAACCAGGCTTTAACGTCTTTACCTACAC